GTTGGCGTCAATAAGGCTGTGAACGGGGTGGTCTCGAGTCAGTGCTTAAAAAAAAATTCCTATTAGTGACATGGGACCCCTTACACTACTTCAGAGGGGACAGCAAGAAGAATTACAAGACTGCAATCAGCATCAGTGATGTTTTGTTTTTTAAAAATACATTCAGGAAATTGCAAACGAAGAGGGGAGGGAAAAGCCGTGTTCTATGTAGCGTGGCCCTAATTGAGTGCCAGGTGATGTGGCCTAATCTTTTGGACCATGCCGGGCGATTGTGTTATTTACCGGTCATTGAGTAAAAGGTTTTGTAGTCATTTTTTCTTTGGTGCTGGGATATAGAGAGGAATAACATGGGCCTGGTTTCCACCAGGGCACCTTCTCTGAGCAGGTTCGCAGCTGGTCTGTAGACATCCCTCCCAGGCTTTATCTCTGGCGTCCCTGTTGTGGTTTGCCAGGGGGAACTGAGGCAAAGATTGTAGGAAGACCAGAATAATATGAAGCAGGGACTGAAGCTAGCCGTACAAATTTGTGAGTGGCTTCCCAGTGTCAGCTTTTTTGGTGTTTTGTTTTTTGGTTAACAACTTACTGAATGAATATTTGATAGATGCTGGCACAAGAAGTAATAATGACTACATTTTAAATTACCTTTTGCATTGTAGTTTTAAACATTACCTACATGAATTGTATATATAAAGATCTTATTATCAGTGCTCTTATTGTTTTGTTTTTTTTTCTTTTCTTTTCAACGTTTTATTGATAAACATATAGCAATGAGACAGTTTCAAATCAAATCGAAAGTATAGTTTCAACAAATAATACACTGCATATATTCTTCTTAGTGGTTAATTGCTGTACAAGATGCAGACTTGTGATCCTACTTGCTCTTATTGTTTAAAACATCCTATCAGAACTATAAGATAGAACAGATCGACAGACATTATATGCAACAACCGTACTGCTTTGAGATGTTATATGGCATTCTAATAATAGTGGATATATGTTCATAACTGGAAGCAACAGGGCAGTTACCCCTTTTTCATTTTCTTTGTGTTCAGCAACAGTATCAAAGTGCTTTGTTTTGGGCAGACAAAGTAGCTTCGCTCTCTCATGGTAAGTGGTGAATGCTATTTTTTTCTAGTTCTTAACACTATTTCACCTTGCACCTCTGTGATCATTCGTAATTTTTTTCCTCCAGAGGACCCTCAGGATGTTTATTGGTTGGCCCAGTGTCTTTATCTGACAGCACAGTATCACAGAGCAGCCCATGCCCTTCGGTCACGAAAATTGGACAAAGTAAGTAAATTATGTGCATGAATTTCAGAGCTTTAAGACCTTTTTTTTTAGTCATCAGAATATCACAGATGGGGTCCAAGGAGGTCCCCCAAAGATGAGAGTACAACCTTAATTCATTCCACCCATGGCGTAGGTTGTAAGATCACTGACTTGTCAGAAAAACAATTTTCAAGGTGCTTCAGTGAGAGGCATAAAGAGCTTTATTAGGCAAAATTTTATTTATTTTTTAAAATTTATTTTTGGTACTGGAAATTGAACTTGGGACCTTGCACTTACCAGGTAGATGCTGTCCCACTGAGCTATATCCCCAGCCCACTGAAGGATTTTAAAAGTACATAGAGGAAATAGAGATGAGCCCTTAATAGAGACATAGGCTAGTCTGGAGCTAGGTATCTTTATATAGTTTTCAGGGATATTATTAAGATGGATAATCTAGTGTGTTCCTACTGTCTGTCAGGTCACCCACTTGGTCAGAATCTATTAGAATGTAAACCATTTATGTGTGTTTAAAGTTGAGATATGCTGCCCACTAACATTTCTAGGAGGAAACGGAATTTATAGATGAAAAGCTCAGACCCCATTTACAGGCTTATTGTTTTGAGTTTCATGGAAGGGAAAAGGGGTGGAGTAATTTTTGTGTCCTAAAGTGGCAGGTTTCTTAAAGTTCATTTTAAAAATTATGCTATTCTTTGTTTTCTGCCAATCTTTATTTCTCCCTCAACAGTACGATTTCAGATGTATCTTCTATTTATATCAAACTTACTTAAAAGAATTTATTTCTGCTTGAACATGAAGAGGAAAATTCCTATTCTTAGCTTCAGTTACCTTGTTTGCTGTCACTCTCCATCTAATCACTAAGTTATGAAAATTCTGTTTTGGAAAAGGAAAAGAAGTAATTTCTGTTTTGATTGTTGTTCTTTATGGGATGGAGTTTTTAGATGAGGTTCCACTGTGTTGCCCAACTTGGCCTTAAACTCCTGGGCTCAAACTGTGCTACTCCAGCCTCCTGAATGTTAGGACTACAGATGCACGGCACTGTGCCAAGCTTGAAAATTAATTTTTTAGATAGCTCTGAAGTTTTGAATCCTAAGGTTATGAGTGTTCTGTGCTGTCCATCTTCTTGCCCTTTCACAAAAGTGTGGCCCTCAATCTGTCTATTCTATTGGAGAATTTTCTTGTCTCTTCTCCAATAACCTTTCCTCCTTCCCCGTGTCCAGTCTGTCTTCCCTATGTCCAAACTGCTACAAGGATGGTTGCAGACTAAATCACAGTTCTGATTATGTTACCCACAAATTCATTCAGTGATTGCTATCTACTTTCAGGATAAAATCAGATGCTATCATAGATATCCAAGGTCTACGATGTCAATACGTTTAGTGCATACTTTAGGTTCCTTTCATGTCTTGGACATACACAAGTACTATATTTAGGCTTTTCTCTACTTTTAACTGATTCTTTACTTACCTCTCCTCTGCAGGTACTTCCTTCTTGCATCAGCTAGTGCTTTTTATATCTGTCCTTCATGTGTTGTGCTCTATCCTTGTCTCCCCTGCTGTTACATAGTAAGGGAGATCCTCACTCATTTTTTAATTCTGTGTGTCATATAAACTGGTAAGGTCATGTTAAATATGCAGTAAGAAGACTGATATTTTTTAATTTAGTTTAAATTTAAAAAAAAAAAGTAGCTCGCTGTCCCATATTGAATGTCAGAAGAGGCGAATCCAGTCTCATAATGGAGGGCCATGACTCAAAAGAATGAGAGTAATTGAGGAAGCTGTCTGTTGGTGGTCTGAGCTTTGAAACTAACAGTGATAGCTTGAGAGAACACTTTGAGAAACGGAGCACACTCTCATATTGTGTGGTAAAGAGAGGTCCCCAAATAAAATGCTCCAGAGGCTTTGGTTTTGTGACTTACTCTTGGGCCGAGAATATAGCTCAGTAGAATAAGCAACTGCCTGGCAAGCACAGGGTTGTGAGTTCAAATAAAAAAAAAAAAAAGTGTGACTTACTCTTGTGTTGAAGAGGTGGGTGCAGCAATGTGTGCTTGACCACACAAAAGGTGATGGACATGTACTGGAACCAAAGAGAGCTGTTTCTAGAGAAGATTAAATAAAGCCTAGTGCCTGTTTAACAGGGAAAATTGTTGGTGGCATTAGAGAAGATACAGAAGAATATAATTTGAGAGACTACTTTGAAAAGTATGACAAGGGGCTGGTGAGATGGCTCAGTGGTCTAAAGTTCCTACTTAGAACAAGCTTAGCAAAGCAAAGGGACTGCAGTTCAATCCCCCAGCACCACATGCCAGCCAGCCACACCCCATGGTGGGCTGAGCTGCCCCCCCCACACACACAAATAAATAAAATTAAAAAAGAAAAGTATGACAAGATTGAAACCATGGAAGTTATGGAAGATAGGCAGAGTGAGGAAAAGAGAGGATTTGCTTTTGTAACTTTTGATGATCATGATACAGTTGATGAAAGTGTTGTTCAGAAATAACACACTATTAATGGGCATAATGGTAAAGGTGAAAAAGGCCCTTTCTGAACAAGAGATGTAGTCTGCTGGATCACAAAGAGGTCATGGAGGTGGCAACTTTATGGGTTGTGAAGGAAATTTTGGAGGTGGTAGAGGGAATTTTGATCATAGTAAACACTTTGGTGGAAAAGGAGGCTATGGTGGTGGAAGAGGTGACAGCAGAGGTAGTTTTGGAGGAGGTGATAGTGGATATGGTGGATTTGAAGGCGATGGTGGATACTGGTGGTGATTCTGGTTATAGTAGTAGAGGAGGGCGTGGTTGTGGTAGTAGACCAGGATATGTAAATAAAGGTGATGATGGAGGAGGATATGATGGTTACAATGAAGGAGGAAACTTTGGTGGTGATCACTATGGGGGTAGTAGGAACTATGATGATTTTGGAAATTGTAGTGAACAACAGCAGTCAAATGATGGGCCCCTGAAGAGGGCAGTTTTGGTGGGAGAAGGTCTGCCAGTTCCTGTGGTGGTGTTATGGATCTGGAGGTGGATATGGTAGCAGAAAGTTTTGAAAAACAACAGAAAAGGGCTACAGTTCTTAGCAGGAGAGAAAGCAAGGAAAGCTGCAGGTTACTTTGAGACAGTGGTCCCAAATGCATTAGAGGAACTGTAAAAGTCTGCCACAGAAGGAAGGATGATCCACAGTCAGAAAAGTTACTGCAGCTTAATCTGGTTCAGGACTGTCACAGCCACAGTTTGCAAAAAGTGTAGCTATTGATTAATGCAATGTAGTGTCAATTAGATTCCTGAGATCTTTTATCCTGTATGGCTTTGTCTTTCTTTTCATTACATCAGGTATATTGCCCTGTAAATTAAGGAATTTTTAACTTAGGGTCTATAGGGTTTCACTAAGCACATTGGACTCAACAATTGTCCTGTGTTCAGCCTCCCAAATGCTAGGATTGCAGATGCGCGCCATCATGGTCAGTCTCAGTTGCTGTCTTAGCACACCCCAGGGGCCGGCATGGCATGCCAGGTGTCAAACCTTGGCCACTGCGCTCTGCCTAAGCAGAGGCTTTCGTCCACTGAGCTATCTAGCTGGCCAAAAAAAAAAGAAAAAGAATAAAAAGTAGTAAAAAAATATAAATGGTACAGAATTTCACCAAACAAGATGATAGAAGTTCAACAATGGTTATACTGCATATTATCTTTAAATTAGTTGTCCAGATTACCAGATATAAGCATGCAAAATTGGGTTAAAAAAAAAAAAAAAACTAAAAAGAAGAAAAAGATACATAAGCATTAACTGTTCTTTTCAATAGACTAATGGAAATCAGCAGTACAATTATCTCAGCTATCCTGGGTATATACATGTATTTTTTATCCTTCTTTCTTTTCTCCTTTCCCTCATCCCACTTGTTCCTTCCCTTGAGTAGTTACTTTCCCTTTCACATTATCTATTATAACTTTCAGATTTTATTTATTCTTTCGGGTTTTTGCACTAGGGAAACAATGCAATGTTTGCACATGTGGATCTGATTTATTTGACTTATGAGTATGGTCTCTAGTTGCATCTGTTTACCTATAAGAGCCTTGAGTTTATTTTTTCCTTTGTAAACAAATACCACATCTGTTTTATCCATTTCTCAGTTGATGGGCATTTGGGTTGCTTCCAAGATTTAGCTATGACAAATTGTGCTGCTGTAAAGATGGGGGCACTTATTTTGGTGTAGTATGTTTTCAGTTCTGGAAAAATACAAAGGAGGGAAATAGCTGGGTTGAATGGGACCTATAATCCTTGTTTTTTTGAGGAATCCCCACACTGATTTTCCATAGTGGTTGTACCAGTCTAAAACTCCCACCAGCAGTAGAGAAGGCTTCCTTTTTCCCCATAGTCCCTCCAACATTTGTTATTGGTTGACTTCTTGATGATTCTTACTGGGGTGAGGTGGAATCTCAGTGTTGTTGTAATTTGCATTCTGCAGTGACCAATGGCATTGAACATTTTTTCATATATTTATTTGCCATTTGCACTTCTTCATCTGAGAAATATGTATTCATCTCAGATGCTCATTTTTGCATTGAGTCTTTGAATTTTGGGGGCCTGTTTTTTTTAAATTCCTTATATGTTCTAGATAGAAGTCCTTTGTCTGAGGGATCATCACCTAAATTTTTTTCCTAATTTGTGGGGTTTTTTTTTTACTCTGTTGGTGATTTCTTTTGACATGCAAAAACTTTTCAATAAGATGAGATCCCAATTGTTGATTCTTTGAAGTATTTCCTGTACAGTTTGGTTTTTGTTCACGAACTCTCTACCTACCCGTCTTCAAAATTTCCACTTTCTTTCTCCTTCACTCGATTTAGTGTGTCTGTTTTAGCATGTAGATCTTTGATCCATTTTGACGTTAGTCTACTGTATGGTGGTAGACATGGGTCTACTTTTGGTGTTCAGCATGTGGAAAGGGAGTTTTTTCAGCACTGTTTATTAAAGAGGCTATCTTTCCTCCAGGGAGCATGTTTGGCCCCTTTCAAAGATAAGGTGGCAGAGTTTATAGTTGTATCTATATCTTCTAATCAGTTCTATTGATCCTCAGTCTGTTTTTTTTGCCAGTACCACACTGATTTTATCATAGTAATGTGTAGTATAATTTCAAGTCAAGGATTGTGATGCCTCCTGCTTTTCCTTTGTTGCCCAAGATTGCTTTTACTATTCTTTCTGGTTCCAGATAAATTTTTGAAATATTTTCTCTAGATCCGGAAGGTGTACTAATGGTATTTTAATCAGGATTGCATTGAATTTGTGTAAGAATTTTGGGAGTGTGGCCATTTTTACAATGTTGTTTCTTTCTATCCATGAGCAAGAATTTTTTCTTAAGTGCAAGAATAAAAGAAATTATGAAAATAGCTCTTTATATTTTGTGCTTATGATTTTCTTTAAAATGAATACTTAATACTTTAATCACTTTTTAATCAATCTCTTTTCTAGTTGTATGAAGCATGTCGTTACCTTGCAGCCAGGTGTCATGTAAGTATGTGCAGTTCCATTTATTTGGTGAAAGCTTGATTAAATATGAGTGTTATGTGTCCCTCATGTGTGTGTGAGAATTTGGTCATGAGCTTGGCAAATTTGTATAGTATTTCATGTGAAAACGTTCTTTTCTGTAGTATGGTTTGCTTTAAAATATTAATCATTCTGGTAGGCATGAAGAAAATTACATTTTAGATTTAAATAATGGATATAATGTATATCCCCCTTTTAAAATCTATAAGTCACGGATGATGAGTATTTCTATTTTCTACACAGTATGCTGCAAAAGAATATCAGCAGGCTCTTGATATTCTTGATATGGAGGAACCTATCAACAAAAGATTATTTGAAAAATACTTGAAGGATGACAGCATCTTGAAAGACTCTTCCAGTGACTGGGAAATGTCACCTTCCTCAGTGAGTCATATTGTTAGCATGCTTCAGTAATAGCAGTAGGGAATGCCCATGTTACATGGCAAAAATAAATTACCTTTTGCATTTGTATGTTATGTTACAGTGTCTCTGGCCCGTCTCTCAGCTCAGTTGTATGTTCTTAGCTTCAGGGTGTAGAATATAAGTCCAGCTACATGACCTGTTGTTAAAGGTGATAGATGAGGTAGTCACAACCCCAACCCTTACCAAGTTCTGTAAGTAAAATAGTGTTTTCCCCTTTTCACAGTAAGGAGAGGAATCTGAGGCCATGACAGTTTAAATCATCATCTAAGGTCATACTCATGTGGAAGGGCTGGAGTTTGAACTCAGGTCTGTGGCTCTAGCAGGCCATGCTCCTTGACCACAGGTCACTAGTATTCATTAGGACACTCTCATGAGTCTGTACATCATACTTTCTGTTCTGCATATGCACTTCTGCTGCCTCTAAATCACTGCCCTGGGCTGGCCAGCTGGCTCAGTGGATTAAAGCACCTGCTTAGGCAGACGCAGGGACCGGGTTCAGTTCCCCCTGGGCACACTGAGAGGGTGATTAAGACTGGGTGTGGTGGCGTGCGTCTGTAATCTCAGTGCTTGGGAGGCTGCAAACAGGAGGATCACTACAAGTCCGATCTCTTAGACCCTATGACCTGCACTAAATACATTAAAAATAGTAATAAAATAAAAATGAATCACTGCCCTATTGGGGGCAAAAGAAGTAATACACCTGTTAACTATGACATATACATTAGTTATAAAGACTAAGTGGAACAAAGTGATCAGAGCCTGAGGAAGATAGCTTAAAGCCTAGCTTTGCTTTCATGTCTGTGCTAATTCATACTATGCTTTAATAGTTGAGATGAGCCAAACCCTTTTAGATATGATAAATACTATGTAGCGTTGGATCAAACGTTGAAAGGTCAGACTTAATATGTGACTCTTGAACTTTTTCCAACAGATAAAGAGTTCTATTTGTCTTCTGCGAGGGAAGATTTATGATGCTCTAGATAATCGAGCTCTAGCTACCTACAGTTACAAAGAAGCTCTAAAGCTTGATGTCTACTGTTTTGAAGCATTTGATCTTTTAACATCACACCACATGTTGACAGCACAAGAAGGTTTGAAAACTCAGATGTTTTTATGTTTAGCATAATTAGTATTATTTGGACTTCTTATTTGAAATTGTATAATCGAGAGCAGGTTCTGTGTAGTTTGAGTAGAACTACTAACTTTCCTGTCTTCAAGTAAGAGGTATAATGCAAAACTCAGTACCGTGCAGTGCCTTTTGTACCCATAATCTTACTGCAGTTGTGGAGTTGTGAGATCATCTTTTTGAGAAGCAGTTGGAGGTAATATTAACCAAGATTTCAATGTCTGAGTCAGTGATTCTCAACATGCTGTACTTTGAATCCCAAGGAGCTTTAAAAATGTCAGTGTAGCTGGGTGTGGTGGCATATGTCTGTAATCCCAACATTGTGGAGGCTGAGGATTACAATCTGTCTCAAGAGTAAAAAACAAAAGCAAAACAAAAAAATAGTGTTGCCAGACATGGTATTGTATACTTGTAATCCCAGTAAGCTGAATCAGGAGGATCACAAGTTCAAGGTCAGTCTGGGCAGTATAGTGAGACAAGGTACAAACACCAGTAGAATATTTGCCTAGCATCCATGAGAAGCTGGGTTTAATTCCCAGCACCCTCCACCCTACAGATAAAATCAGTGACCGCATCCCAACTTTGAACCAGTCTAATGCGAGTCTCTGAAGTAGGGCCCTGACTTCAGATGGTTTAAAGCTCCTAGTTGATGCAGATATACCTTTGGGTTAGAGTTGCTGATGTGGTATGTCAGTGGTCATTTGGGTGGGCAATTAAGAGACCAGGAAGAAAATGGGATTGCTGTGGTAATTGGATTCAAATAGTTCAACATAGTACAATGGTTCTTTTTTTTTTTTTTAATAGTTTTATTCATTTTATTTGTATATGTCAAAATACATTTTTATTTCCAAAATAGTGGGTTTTGCAACCAGTTTCATGCAGAAACAAGGTCTGCTCAGTACTACCAGTAAAATCAATATAGCACAGTACCTGTTCAGTTTTAGGTACAAAGAGTAAATAACCTAAATACAAAACACTAAAATATTAGAAACACGTATTTCACCATTCTTCACAAGCATCCAAACTTCACAAACATAAGCCACGGCATGCCTAACTGTTGTGCAACCCGAACACGTTGCAGTCACTCAAGCTGGTCAATTATTTGTACATTTTACCTCCACCTTACACCGTGGAAACTCCCTATAATCAGACCCACCATTCATACAGTTTAAAAAAAAAAAAAAAATCCCACAACTATCCTTGTACCTTTAAAATCAAGAATCCTGAGCTTGGTAGTAAGAGCATAACCTTTTATCTTCATAAAACCATTAGTACTATGGTTCTTGATCATGGGTCATTTGCAATGCCTGAGACTGGGGTTCATGGTTTGGGAGCAGGGAGAAGGCTAGAGATTGCTGCTGGAATTTAACAAATAGAGGCCAGAGACACTGCTAAATATTTTGCAGTATGTGGTCCACACAGCATCAATTATTTTGACACCTGTGGGTTTTGGTTTGGCTGATGACTGGAACCTTCCAATATCCTCCTTCTGGTTACTTGAGTCTTTGAGGCCTGCAGACCACTAGTGTCAGCTTTCTCTAGCAGTTTTAAAAAAAATTTATTTCAAGGGCCGACCAGATAGCTCAGTGGACTAAAGCACCTGCTTAGGCAGAGCTCAGGGAACAGGGTTTGATCCCCGGCACCACAAGCCATGCTGGCCCCATCTCCGGGTGCACAAAGGCAGCACTTGGGAGGGCTGAAATCTATGTAGTGAGACCCTATAGACCCTATACTAAATATATTTTAAAAAATTATTTCAAAAGAAAATTTATATGATACAAGGTCTTGCTACGCAGTTTAGACTGGTAGTGACCCTCCTGTCTCAGCCTCCCCAAACCCAGCCCGGCATGCAGTACTGGGGATTGAACTCGGGTCCAGGCAGGTGCTTAGACTGCCCAGCTATCTCTCCAGCCCTCTCTAGCATTTTTGCTTTGAGTTGAGTTGATTTACTTTGATCAACTATACAAGGATATTTTTAATTGCTGACTTTTTTTTCCCAATAAATATTATGGTATTCTTTTGTTGTTTCTCACCATTTTTAAGAAAAAGAACTTCTTGAGTCACTACCTCTTAGCAAGCTGTGTCCTGAAGAACAGGAATTACTGCATTTTCTGTTTGAGAACAAATTAAAGAAGGTAAGCAGAAATTCAGCATTTGTTTTATATAAATGTCTTATTTATTCCATTAAACATGGCCTTTATTAAACTCTCAAAAATAAAAGATTTTATTAATCAGGCACATGTGCAGGAATAAATTATTTAAAATGCCCATGATTCCCAAAAGGAGCTTATAAACTAGTTTTTATCTTCCTCTCAAAGATTCCTTATATTAAAAGATTGAATTATTAGGTAAGTGGGATGGGGATGTGTGAAAATTAGTTTTTCTTACGCTTGCTGAGTTTTTGAGTGAAATATTGCCTACTGTGGAATTCTGTGGTGAAACTCAGACAAGGCTAAACGGAGTGAGGATATAAGTGAAATGATGTTGAAAGGTTTTTAAGGACTCGCGTGTGTCCTGTGTGCGAGTGTTAACTACCTACGCCAGACACAGGTTGAGTCTGCCTTTTGATACATTTCAACTCATTGAGTTTATGTGTAAATTTTTCTGTTTCAGTATAACAAGCCTAGTGAAACTGTCATCCCTGGGTCTGTAGATGGCTTGCAAGAGAATCTAGATGTGGTGGTATCTTTAGCTGAACGACATTATTATAACTGTGACTTTAAGATGTGCTACAGGCTTACATCTGCGTAAGTATAGCCTGCCATTTGGGGGGGATGCGGGTTCAGATCACACCTGTGTAATTCATAGACATTGTCTCTGGATAATTTTGAAGTAGTCAGTGATAGTTGAAGTTACCTTTACCATTTTCAGAGAACCAAACAGGTTGCTTTCTTGCAAGAGCAGTTTACAGGCACAAGGTCTTTTTTTTTTTTACCGGTACCAAGGATCGAACACAGGACTTTGTGCTTGCCAGGCAGGCACTTATGCTGTTGAGGTATTTCCCCAGCCCTGTAGGCACAAGTTTATTTCTACAGGTAGGTATATTATAGTAACTTGTAAGAGAGAGATACAGGTCCATGTTGGTAAATTTTGTATCAACAATATTTAGTATTTTTGAAAACAGAATTTTTGATAATTTTGAAAACAGCATTTTAGCAATAGTTTTATAAAGTTCTTCACTTTAGTAGAGACTGGACTGAGAATGTAGCTCAGAATACTTGCATACTGGTGGTGTGCATGAGACTCTTAAGTTTGATCCACCCCAGAAAACTAAAGGTATAAACTAATGTGGTCCTGTAGATACTTTGGCCCTGTCTGGAATACTGTCAACTAAGCCATCTTTTCTGTACACCAGCATCCATCTATGCACCAGCTTTCCAGGGTATCTCATCAGACTTGTTCTTTAGCTAAATTAGATATTCTGTGTTTTTGTGAATAGTTACTACGATGATTGCTGTCATGTACTGTTATTTTAATTTTCAGAGTAATGGAAAAAGATCCTTTCCATGCAAATTGTTTACCTGTACATATAGGAACACTTGTGGAGCTGAATAAAGCAAATGGTAAGAATTTTCTTTTTAATTAAAATACTTAAGACAGTGAATCCTGTATCTCTTGAACTTTGTCTCACAAATCATGGACAGTTGAGACTGCATGGTGGAGCCCTCTGACAAAAGTAAGGACTGGAGAAGAAGGGTTATTAGAGTAGTGAAGCCTGCTTTGCTTTCCTGACAGAGCAGTGTATGTCTGGGTTTCTGCTTTCTCTTTACTTTTCTCAAATGTAATTTGTGCTTTGGAGTATTGAGAGTGGATTTTGACTTTCCTCCCTTTTTTTTTTTTTTTTTTTGTAAATTCCTTAAGAAAATGGAGAAGGCAGTCAGGCTCAGGATACTGTGGTTTGATCCCCAGATCTTCATGTCTTAGCAGACCTGTCCTTAAGGCACCCTGAGCCAGCCAGAAAAGAAAAAAAATGCAAATGGTAGCAAATATGTACAGTATTTACAAATTGGAAGAGCAAATTTTTTGCTTGGATTTTTTACATTTTATTTTATTTATTTATTTATTTATTTTTTCTGGAACTGGGGATTGAACTCAGACCCTTGCGCTTGCCAGGCAAGCACTTATTCTACTGAGCCATCTCTCCAGCCCCTATTTTTTACATTTTAATAGTTCAGAAACGTTTAGCTATGTTTGGGCCAATATTTGCCCTTCAATCTTATAAAACTAAATGATAGGGCTGGAGAGATGGCTCAGTGGTCTAAAGCACCTACTTGGAACAAGCTTGGCAAAGCACAGGGACCGCAGTTCGATCCCCCAGCACCACATGCCAGTCAGCCCCGCCCCCTGGTGGGCTGAGCTGGCCACACACATACACACACTAAATAAAAATGTAATAAATAAATAATTTAAAAAACAAGAAAAAACCTAAATGATACACTCCGTCAGGATGCTGGAAAATTCATAACCAACCCCAGACTCCTGATGCTCGGATATGTGACCAGTAGTATTATATCTCCTGGACCCTGCTTGGAGATGCAGTCTGCCCAGCTGCCCCAGACTACTGCATCTCAGAGTATGCGTGTAAGACATGCTGTCGCAAAATGCTGGGAATTAACCCGCATTTCTCAAGAGGAAATAATACACTGATCTGCTTGAAAATTTGGGCTGACCAGTTTGGTTGTGGGTGGCTAATGTGGTCCATCTTGGGTACGTGTCATGAGGATGTAGGCTTCTCAATAGGGAGCTTTGCAGGAACCTCTGTCATGTCCAAAGTGCTTTGTTTGTGGCATCTGTCCCCTTGTGGCCTGCTGTGTGCACTTACCCAGTTTGCCAGTCACTCTTCAAGCACTCATTGCCCACTGTGGGTCTGGGAAGGTCGTGTCTGCCACGTGGGATTTCTGTTCTTCAGGAGCCAAGTGATTTTATACCTAGAAGGGAAGAGAGGTATAAGGTTGTTGCTTTATGAACAGGTTTTTGATTGTGAAGATTTGTTACTAGGGAAAAGGTTCAGTCTTAAATTGTGTTTTATTTGAATAATCCTTTTTTTTCTTTTTTCTGTAATACAGAGCTTTTCTATCTTTCTCACAAACTGGTGGATTTATATCCTAGTAATCCTGTAAGTCATATAAATCTCTTTTTCTTACCTGAACTTTAAGAAAATATTTAATTAGTACTGTATCTAGGCACTAGATTATATTTAAGTTCCAGCAAACAATATTTTATTTTAAAGCAGTAGGACACAATCTCTTAGTGTTTAAGGCATTAGAAGCTGTCGTTCTTTATTCCATGAAAATGTTCTTTTAATTATAAAAAGGTAGTAACTTAAGACAAATCTTTTTTTTTCTGATTATAGAAATATGCATGCTTTTTAAAGTATTCATCGTGCAGAATATAAAGTACTGATAGTGACAATCACACCCTACCTTTTGTAAGGAATGTAATCAGGGTGGCTTTCTCACGCCACATAGAATAAAACAGCATACTGAGCTGTGTGTATTGATTGAGTCAGTGTTTCTTCCACCTTCCTGTGGGTCAGAATGCAGATCTGGGATGGAAAACAGACTTAGTAACTATACCATAAAAACAAAAGGCAAGTCTGGGTCTGAGTCTCAGTCCAGACAAGAATCTGCCCTGAGTTCTCTGTGAAATCAGTGCAAGAGAGGCTTGTGGAAAGTTGGAACCTCGTAGAGCAAGGGAGGGCCATGGTTAAGCCTGGGTGCACAGGCAGATATCCTTGGACAGCTATCTGTGCAACCCACCGTGAGAAAGAATTGGTGAATGTTTTCATATGGCACTTAGTAAATTGTTGCAGAGAAATTTTCAATTCAAACTAAAATAATGTGATTTGGGAACACCTGGTGTGCCCTCTATCTAACCTAGCTTATTAGATATTTCAGTTCAAATCTAAGCATATTGGTCATGGTAGATTTTGAACTTTTAGGTGTCTTGGTTTGCAGTGGGATGTTATTATCTCATGGTCGGCCATAAAAATGAACACGCCAGAAGATATCTCAGGTATGAATTCACTGTTCTTCCTCCATAGTGACCCTGTAGGAAGAGATTTCTTTCTCAAATGTTTCAATGCAATACAGTGTAAGATACTTTTCAAGTAGTATGAAAGAGTATTTTCTGTGACATATCTGGCTCAGTTACCTGTGTGCCTTGGATTTTATAAGCTGCTATAAGGGAAGCTAAGTCAGTGGTACACACCTTGTTCTAAAGGAGCACAGGTGGTTTTCATTTTACTCAGAAAGGAGAATAAATAGAAAATAGGTATAGTTTGAAAGGTTCTGTTTTTCTTTTACGAAGATACTATTAACCTATATATTTAGGACTTTTGCTAATTGTCATAAAACTATACAGCACTTTACATGATATTAGGGTTCCTGAATATTGCTGTAAAACAATTCTTGACAGAGTACATAAGCTCCGGTGTGGGTTTACCTTAAGGAAAGTCATGCTGCTCCATCAAACTACTTAAGCACTGTTTTGCTAGTATAGAGAAATGTCTAGGATATGAAGAACTAATTCCCTGAAGACTTTAAATCCAGTAATACCTGTGCTAATAAGAGAAGGTGGTTCCTAAGGAAAAGAGCATGAACTCTGAATCAGATTTAAATTCTTAAACAAGTTCTTTGATTTCCCGGCTGTGATTCCTTGGGAAGGTTAATTCCTCTGACTCTGTTCTCTAAAAATGAGAATGACATAGCACTTCTATTCTAGAATTGTTAGAAAAATTGATGACAGCAAAGAGCCTTGTACTAGGAACAAAATGAGAAGAGCTCTTCAGCTGGTTGTGTGTACAGAAAAGTTTGTGAGTAGGAAAATGATCAGTATTGTAGAGGTGCTTTTCAACTGTGCTTCTTCAGTTTAGTCTATGATTCAGTGCACTTTACCAGAAATGTGTTACATTTGTATGAAAGCTGAGATAAAATGCTAGGGAGGAGAGTACCTCTTATATTCTCCATCTTTTGGGACATATTATCTTTAATCCTTTTATGTATTAGCCATTAGTGTCCACTAATTGAAGATTAATTGTATCTAGTCTAATC